TTCATACCTTTTTATTTTTCTTGTCTTGCTGGATTAACTAGGATTTATAGTATTCTACTGAAAAATAATGAGAATAGTAGCCAAACATTTTATTCTTGATTTTCACTGGAATGCTTTAAAGCTTTAAAATTAAATATATCTCATGTAATTTGTTTGTAGCTATGTTTGACCATACAGTGGAAGTTTCCTTTTATTCTGAGTTGTGATGTTTTATCAGAATGGACAATTATACAGCAGATTCTTTTTCTGTAACTCTGGAGATCATCACCTGGTTTTAATCCTTAATCTGCTGAAGGGAGTGATTCTATTAAGAGATTTTTAATGGTAAACAATCTTTGCATTCTATGGATAAATTTCACTTCATTTGATGCTGGGTTTTGTTTGCATATATTTTATTGGGATCTATATACATAACTTCTGAGTAAATATACATAAATCAGATTAGCTAACAGTTACTATTTTATTTTAATTTTTTTGGAAGAATTCTTACTGACTCTGCTGTCACAAAAATTTTGCCTTGTAAAATTAGTTGGGATTGTTTTCCATCTTTTTCTCTACCTGGAACAATATATTTGAAATATGATTATCTGTTGCTTCGTATAGTCTGGAGCTAGGACCTTGTGGGACTAGTAAGAACTTTGGCTACTTGTTCATTTTCTTAACAATTACTTACACATTCAAGCTTTCTCCCTCTTCTGGTATTTGTTTTTTCAATTTATCTATAAAATGTGTTGATGTAGATTATATATAGCATTTTTTAATTTTAATCTGTATATTACTTATTTGTAATATGTCTACTTTTCTAGCACTTATTACCATTTTGATTAATTCTGAGAGCGATTTTTATATTTTTATTAATTTTCTCAAAAAGCCAGGCTTTAGTTTTGTAAATCACTTTTATAAACTTTTTGTTTTGCTTTTTATTTTAAATTTCCGGTCTTTTAAATTAATTTTCTACCTTCTAAATTCTTATTGACTTTGTTTTTCTTTTTCTAGCTTCCTCAATTAAAATCCTAGCTCATGTATTTTTAGTTACTCCTGTTTACAAATAAATGCATTTAAAGCTATAAGTTTCCCTATAGATGTCACTTCAGGATTACTTAAAAACAGAAAAAGAGAATATGTGCTTACCTGTGTAAAAACAATGCATGGTAATAAGATTGCAAAAACGAATCCTTTTTTACTACTGTTTAAAAATCTCAGCATAATCAAAATTAAACAAAAGCAGAAAGCAGAAATGTGTGAGTGCAGATACGGACTTTGGTCATCGTCCATGTCTGCTTCCCATTTTAAATACTGAAGTACTGAATTTACAGATCACCACAGACAATTGAACAAGGCGTAAATAAACTATTTCTGAAACTTACAGACCACATCAATTATCAAATTCACCATGTGGTTTTTAACTATGCCTTCTGCACCGTCTCTCTCCTGGACTCTTCATAAGTTTCTAACAAACCCTGATGAGGAATCAAAGTGCTGGTTCTGCTGCCGGGCGGGTGAGTGACTTTGGAAAGGCTCCCTGATCTTCATTGTTTTCTTTAGTTAAGTGGAGGCGAAAATATATACTTTCAGGATTTTCATAGAGATGAAAAGACCATGTATTCCAAGCATTTAATAAACCTTGAACATGTTGTCAAATTTATTAACGAGTGTTTCTAGCCTTCGAACTAACATCACAGAGAAGTTGAATTTCAAAGCAAAAATTGCTAATACTAATTTTCATGGTACATGTTATAGATGTTTTCTCCTTTATTTTTGTTACAACTTCTCTAAATCTTACTCCAGCCTGAGATGAAATAATAGCTAAAAAGCAAGACAGTGTAAGAGTCTACAGTGTAAGATGAGGACACATATAAGAAAAAAGCAGAAGGTCAAGAAACCAATTTTAAAGCCTAGAGGAAAAGGAAGAGGGAAGTAAGAGAAATGTTGCAAGTAAGAGTAAAAATTAGCCAAGAGTTCCCTGAGGCTCACATACACCAGAGAGGATGCTTTCAGTCACAAATGAGAGAAAATCCAACTCGTTAGCTGAAACAATCAAGGGAATTTATTGACCGACATAACTGAGAATTGAGAGTCATTCAGGCTTTAGCTGCAGTTTAACCTGGACTTTTCTACAGATCTGTTGTCTGCCTTCTCTTTTTTAACATTTTGTTGTTGTTTTCAGGATTACTGAGTTATAACTGACAAATAAAAGTTGCATTTGATGCTTTGATATACATACGTGTTGTAAAGTAATCACTACAGACAAGCTGATTAACACATCCATCATCTCACAGGGTCACCATTGTCTTTCGTTTTTCTTCTTTTTTGTGATAAGAACGTTTAAGGCTATCCTCCTAGCAAGTTTCAAGTACAAAACTTCTCTGTCTTCATGCATCTGTGATTTTATCTTCAGCTTGCTTTTCTGATACTGAAAAAATGGCTTTAGTCGTTTCAAGCCTTATCCCCAGACCACAATATCCAGGGCGAGACAGCATCTCTTTCCCCTACCATCAAACCCAAGAATCAAGCTTCATATAAACTGTGCCACCTTAAAGCAGGTGCCTAGCCCTGAGCCATCACTCTGAGCAAGGATAAGGGGGATCTATATCATGATTCAGCTTAAGTTATGGGTTACTTGTGCATGCTTTAACCTATCATATCATCAAGGATATTTTCTCATGATTGCCTTAGTCTGCTCAGAGTCTGGGACTACAAATTAGAATGGAATCAGTCAACCAAAATCACATGGCTGCCACGCAAAGGTGACAAGGTAGATTGGAGCCTAGAGAAGCAACCAGTATAATACAAGTAAGAAGATTGCAGCGGTCCCACTGTTTGCCCTCCCCCATCTCATAGTTTTCACCTTTCCCCCCTCTTCAATCTCAATTTTATTTTCCAAAAATTTCCACATGTGTAGCTGTTACCACCTGCACTTGGTCCCTCTGGATGTTCTCCTTGTCCTGAGCCTCCTCTCTCAGCCCTTTAAACAAATTAGAGTGAAGTCCCTTTCCCCTAGTTTAACCCAAATAAGTTGCTGTACTAAGGAACTAAGAACGAAACAACAAAAAAGAAAAGCAGTTAACTGTAGAATCAAATGAGGAAGGCAAAATTTTCATGCTCAGAAGATGCTGATGACCTTTCTCTTCCCAGTTACTTTATACTCAATAAGTTCCTGCTGCATAGTAAGTGCGTAAGAAGTATTTGTTGAATTAACTAATGAATCTTAAAGTAATTTAAGTCTAGCCATGGATATCTTGATTCACACTGCCATTCAGGATCATTAGTCAGAAAGAGTCGCTCTTCATTATTCATGAATCTTGTATTGGCTAATTCGCCTACCTGCTAAAGTTTGTAATCCTCAATTAATTACAACAATTTCACAGTCATTCATCAACATCTGCAGAGTAGCACAAAATTTGAGTCCCCATCTCGTGTGTTTCTAGCTGAGGTTGAATAAGATGCCACTTTGCCTTCTTGTTTTGGTTCTCATTCTGTAAATGTGTCCTTTTCACAGTCGATTGAGTCTACTTTCTGCATTTTTATGCCCTTGGTTGGTAGTTTTGCTGTTAAAACAGCCCTGAAGCATAGTGCTGAAGTGCTGTCAGTGTTCCTAAGCACAAGAAGGCTGTGATATGCCTTATGGAGAAGAGGCACATGTAGATAACCTTTGTTCAGGCAAGAGTTATAGGGTTGTGGGCCAAGAGTTCAGTGTTAATGAATCAAGAATCCAGTACTTCCAGAAAAAGGAAGAGGAAATTCACTGATCTGTATGTGGATCCACTCAAGAGAGTGCTAAAGTAATATGTATAATACTATGATGAAGTTATGGAAAGATGGAAAAGGAGCTAAATCTGTGGATTCATGAGATGATGATTGCTTTTTGTTTGTTTGCTTGTTTATTTCTTTGTTTTTAATAACATAAGGGACAGCACAGCTGTGTGGACAAAAGTCCAAGAAATTTACCATCCCATTACCCAGGTTGGGAATACGTGAAACACTTCTTGGGTGGTGTTTTATTATAAAAGAATACTACATATAATAAATAAATCATTTGGAAGTAAATATATACTAAATAAGGCGTCTTTAAACAGAAACACACATAAAACAAGGCTATGTATTCATTGGGTGACACAAATGTTCTGACCAGAGGTTCACAGGAATATAACCTTGTATTTCCCACAGAAGCGATGGCTCAATATTCACTAACTCAGTGACTTTAACACAACAGTCATGAACAGTGGGGATGTACTGTATGTTGTCTCCTTGCCTTGATCTCACTTCAATCCTGAGCATCAACACTCTTGTTCTCTTTTCTTCACCATATTCTATTCACTTCACTAACACACTTATGTTACTACCTCTCAGGCATCCCGTATATCAGTGCTTCTCAATTTTTTTTTCTGCAGTTTCTCCCAAATCCCCTCAGTACTTAATTGCATATTTTAGTTGTGGGTCCATCTAGTTGTGGCATGTGGGACGACACCTCAGCATGGCCTGATGAGCGTTGCCATGTCCGCATCCAGGATCCGAACCAGCGAAACCCTGGGCCACCAAAGTGGAATGCGTGAACTTAACCACTCGGCCATGAGGCTAGTCCCAGTGCTTCTCAAATTTTAATGTACCTATGAATCCCCTGCTGATTTTTATAACTACAAATGATGATTCAAAAGCTCTGAGGTGAGGGCCAAGATTCTGTATTTCTAACAAGCTCCAAGGTGATAACTCTGCTGCGTGTCCCTGAACCACACCGAATAGCAAGGGCCTACATCCTGCTTTCTTCTTTTTGTTTAGAATACTGGGAGCAATAGGTTCACTCCAATAGGTCTCTATAGTTAAATAATAAGAATGGTCAGATGAAAGGTTTCATTTCTCTTCAGGGGCTCAGAGAAGTCACAAAGGAACTAGGAAAGTGTGAGTCCCTTGGCCAAGTGAGAGGACTTTTAACAAGGAAATCATCAAATGTGTCAATTTTTACAAAGATTTCAGGAAGAAAAATAATAAGAAAAGACTATAAATTTGGCATAAATTCAACACAGGTTTTTATTGAGAACATACTACATGCAGGTAAGACTTTGCCAAGGATACAAATATTAAAAAGACAGGGAGGAGGGGCCAGCCTGGTGGGGTAGCACACGTTCCGATTCAGCGGCCTGGGGTTCACCAGTTCGGATCCTGGGTGCGGACATCGCACCGCTTGGCAAGCCATGCTGTGGTAGGCGTCCCACATACAAAGTAGAGGAAGATGGGCATGGATGTTAGCTCAGGATCAGTCATCCTCAGCAAAAAGAGGAGGATTGGTAGCAGATGTTAGCTCAGGGCTAATCTTCTGCAAAAAAACAAGAAAAAAAAAACAAGACATGGAGGGACTGGCCCAGTGCTACAGTGGTTAAGTCGGCACGTTCTGCTTTGGTGGCCCAGGGTTCGCCGGTTCAGATTCCGGGTGCAGACCTCCATACGACTTGTCAGGCCATGCTGTGGCAGGCATCCCATATATAAAGTAGAGGAAGATGGGCACGAATGTTAGCTCAGGGCCAGTCTTCCTCAGCAAAAAAGAGGAGGATTGGCTGTGGATATTAGTTCAGGGCTAATCTTCCTCAAAAAAAAAAAAAAAGACATTGACTTTGCTCTCAAAAAGCTTAAAAATTATAAGGGGAAAAAGGATCAAAATAGCTGCAAGCCAAGGCAGGAAGTGAGGATTACATTTGGCAAAGAACAATTCAAGTGTGCTGGGAGTTCAGACAAGGCAGAGATTGCTTCACTTGTGAATCAGGGAAGGCCCTCTGGCACAAGGGACATCTGAAATGGGCCGGAAGACCCATTAATATTTGAATATGTGGAGGTAGCTAGGACCTCATCCATTCAGAGTTATAATTTGAGTTTTAAGTCCCAGAGCCGAGGGTAGAACAACAAATCCTCCAAAATTACATTTAGCCTATATTGGCAACAGACAAGCAAATGACAGCAACAACAACAAAAAGCTGTACAAGGAGAATTGAAAGAATGTCAACACAGTGCTGGGTTTAGATACTTACTGAGCCCCTGCAATGCTGGGATCTCATTCCAAAGGGAGACATGTCCTTGGAAATTCACAGTGCGTCCTGTCAAGAACAAAGATGGAAATCAGTCTGCATGACGTGGAGGTGGGAAGTGAGGAGTAAGAAGGAAGGGGACTGGGAGGAGAAATGAGGAGAGAGAAAATTAAAAACATGAGAAGAGAAGAGGGGAGTGGGGAAAGATTGGGAGGGATGGATACAAAGAACTCACCCACGTTTCCTAAGCCAAAAGGCCAGACCTGTCAGAAGCACCAGGGGCAATATCAAGAAGATCAAGAAGATAAAGCCCATGGAGCTGTGATGTTCTGTGGATTTGGGAGGAAATGAGGGTGTCAATTCAAATCCCCTCTCTGTTTTACTGCATTTCCCTGGACATCTTTTGTTCGATTGAGTGTCTGCCTCATCAATTTCCTTTCTTCCTATTTCTTCACTCATCCCTCTTTAGAGATGAATCCTTCATCTAACCCTCAGCATCTTCCTACATCTGCATGTCCTTCATGTTCCAATTTTCTATTTCTTTCATAACTTACTTTTATTTCTTTTGAGTCTCCTGTCACTAGAATCCCAAATTTTTCATCTGACTCTCCTGGTCTGCTTGAGGACCACCTACTCCTATTCCCAGCTTGCACCCCAGTTCTTTCTTACCCCAGTAGAGGATGATGTCCTGGCCTTCTAGACTGCTGTGTCTCACCCGGCAAGACAGGTCAGATGTCTCAGTGGCTTGCACATCTAAGGACGCCCGAAGATACCATGTCCCATCAGCATTGGGCAAGATGTCACTTCGCTGAGTGCCCGGATGCTCCTGCTCACCCCTCATCCACATCACCCAAATAGACTTTGGGTGGAAGCCAGAAGTGTGACAAATCAGCATCAAACGCCCAGGACCAGGATTGCGGCCAGTGGACAGCCAGGCCTCTGGCTTTACTGCATAGGACAGGAAAGATATTCAGATGAGAACTCTAACACAGACTTAGAAGTTCAGATTTTCACATCAGTTTAGAGAGACACATCTTTCCAGCCTCTAGGAATCTGTCACCTATGATTTTCTTTTCCTCTTGGCTCCTTCTTAGGAAGGTTGGAAGGGGATGATGGGAAGGTATGATTTTAAAATAGAAAATTCTTAGAGTAAGGGTGCAGGACTGACCTTGTCGCTGGAGATATGACTTCCCTGCATCAAGAAGTCCCAAGAGGAAACGTTGACAGGTGTCACTGAGGAGCCTGTGTATTATTTCCAGGGTTATTTGGTCTGAATTGAATAGTCGGCAGACATGCTGAGCCTTACTTCCACCATTCAGAGATGGCAACCATGAATTGCTCTGGAAGCTCAGGAAATCTGATCCTTGATAAGCAACCCGCATGTAGCCTACTGAACCTTTCCCAAAGTGCAGATCACAACCTCCTACCACCTGTAATTCAAAGGGATCTGGGGAAGAGGGGTTGTGAATTAGAGGAATGAGGGAGTGAAATAAATAAAATGAAATGAGTGGAAGCAAAAGACAATAGAAATAGAAAGGAACATTTAGGAAATTTGAGGGAATGGGGCAAAGTTTGATTTCAACAGAGGTTCAGAAAAAGAGGAATTAGTGTTAGGTGGAGATAGAGGAAGAGATGAATGACAAGAGGAAGGGGCCAAATTGTTCAAAGAAGGCAACTTGAATGCTGTGGGCAAGAAAATAAGTAGGACTGAGTGTGAGAGAGTTGCCATTATAATAATGTAGAATGAATGGAATGTGGTAGGTTACAATGAATGTGTCAACAGATTTCTGAAGAGATGAAATTGGGGAGAAAATCACATTTTAAGGAGTCAATCAAAGAGTGAGGAAGCTGAGAGTATCTACTGAGAAGCCAAGGAAAGAGGTGGTCACAGGAAACCACTAATGGAAGATAATATGGCACAAGCCTGAAGTCAATGAGAGAGGCGTTTGTAAGTAAAAGAAGACTTGAAGCTTTTGTAAAGTCAGGATTTCAACTTTACACTCTGTCCTAAAGTGCGTATTTGCAGATTTATGGTGAGGGAAAGTAAGGTACAGAAGTGAATGAAGACGGTTTCCTACAGGAAAAAGAAACTCATTGAAATACACACACACCACCCACCCATAACCCCACAGTGTGTAGAAGGAACGGGAACTCACATTCAAAACGCCATTGACTGGCATGGTTGCAAAATGCCTGAAGAAATCCAGTGGAGAACATATGAAATAACTTTCCCAGTTCCATCAAATCCTTATTGCTGAAGTTACCCTTGGACCAGGGCCACAGGAAAATGATATTGCCAGAGTTGCTCTGCCACCCATGAGTCTGCAACTCGCCCAACCAGCCTGAGCCCAGATTTTGTATCCAAAAATGGTTGTAAAAGGATGAGATCTGGATGATTCGGAAGGATGCTGGCTCATGGAAGTCTGTAGTGAAAGAACAGATAAAATGAGGACAAAAACAGACATTGAGAAGGAGAAAGAATGGAGGAGTAAAGGTGCCAGAGAGGGGAAACTCAAAATCTCAAGCAAAGGGGATCCGTAGTTATATCAGGAGTCATTTCCTGCCACACAGCACCATGCTTCTTATTCACCCTTCAGAAGAGCACAGGGACCTGGTCAGGGACACTCAGAATGGAGCAAGGCTGACACTCTCACTCTCCAGGTATATGCTACACACACACAGACACACACACACAAAGACCCTCTTGCACCCAACCAGGCAGTTGTCAGAGTTCTTACCATCTTTATTGTCAACACCTGGGAGGAGAACTGCTAGCAACGGAAGCTGCAGGAACAGCATTTCATTTGCAGGTGTTCTTTCCTTCTCTCAGAAAATTTGGTCTTTAATTTCTGTTCTAAACAAACCTACCCCACAATACTTCTATTATGATTTCTTTTGACTATTCTGTCAGAAAAACCTTTCCTTTAATCACTGTCTGCAAAAACAAAAATATGCTCTTTCCCTAAACCCTGAATCACCTATTCAACTCTCATTTCCCCTTTAGTTCTGTGAACCGCCTACTCAGAACCTCATTTCCCTTCAGTTCTCTGGATGGCCTACTCAGACTCATTGCCCGTGCAGTTCTGACTCTCCTCTTGGGCTTCCATCATTTTCACCTTCCCCCCATTCAATTCCTGTAGAACAAGTCTTGTGTGGCATTGAAAAGTCACTTTACCTCTAGGGCATTTTTTTCTCACTCATACAATTGAAACATGAAACTTAGTGGCTTCCCAGAACCCTAGCTAATCTTCCCAGGCCCCTGCTCTTTTCTGTCACTCTGCCCTTCTCTTACCTTTTTTAATGTTCCCCAAATATTCTCTTCCCCTGTCTCACCCCCACTCAACAGCATTCAGTTCTCTGACTTCTCATTGGTTGCTTTATTTGTTTTTTTCAGAATCCCTTTGATTGTCCTGTGAAGCAGTATAAATTATCACCAATTCTCCATTATTCTTAGGGAACAACCAGTAGCCATCACAGAGACCACAGGGACATTGAAATACATAAAGGAAAACTTCCTCTGTTTGAGTCTCATTGGTAAATATTAACTCACCAAACAATCACTTAGCACCTGCTGCATCCAAGCATCTTACTACACTCATGACTATACAGTGGTTGAAAATGAGATCACTTTATTCAAGGGACTTTGAGTCTACTTTGGGAGAAAAACAGTTAAACCAAGAATTATAAGTCTTGGTGTGCTGAATTTTCTTATAATGTATAGACTCTCAAAACAAAAACGCGCATGCTTAAAACATTTTCTAAAGTTGTGATCCTTAACTGATGTTTGTCCACTCAGAATTTTGACTTCAGTTCTTGGCTTGGGGGTTAGATCAATACTCCTAAGGTATTGGATCCCCAACATCTAACAGAGTGCCTGACAAGAGGTAGGTGCTCAATGAATATATTTGTTTGTTCGTTTGTTTGTTTTTTGAGGAAGATGAACCCTGAGCTAACATCTGCTGCCAATTCTCCACTTTTTGCTAAGGAAGACTGGCCCTGAGCCAACATCCATGCCCATCTTCCTCTATTTTATATGTGGGATGCCAACCACATCATGGCTTACCAAGTAGTGCCATTTCCGCACCGGGATCTGAACTGGCGAACCCAGGGCCACTGAAGCTGAATGTGCGCACTTAACCACTGCACCGCCGGGTGGCCTCAATAAATATTTTTAAATGATTGAATAATTTACCTCAGGCATCCAATTATTATTTAAAATTGTGGATAACTTGAATATAAAACATTTTTAAGATATCAGAAAGCGTTACTTGTAACCCTCCTTGGTGAAATGAAAATCTGACACAGTTTTATTTAGGAAGAAAGTACATGCTAATAAGCATGAAGTTTACACAGAGGGTCCTGCTGTAGATTTCCTATTACTTATAATAGGAAACCAGTGAGAACTTATGAGAAGTTAATAGAGTATTCTGGAACCATTTATCCAAAATATCCTTCTTATTGGTCCTGATTAAATGTCCCATACCTGTCTGATATAAGCTGGTCCCTGCCGGACAAGCTGACCTCCCTGTTTTGTTGTGTTTATAACTGTTTAAAAGCTCTTATATAATTGTTTGTTCTGTGTATCATCTTGATAAATGTGTTTGGGGTGTTTATTTTGTTATTTCTTGGTATACAAGTAAAGAGAAATTATCTCAGGCTAATTTAAGGAAGAAAATTTTTTGGAAAGTTAAGATTAGAATACAAAGCTGGAAACAGCGTCACTCTCATACTTACAATTTCAAAAAACTGGATAATCAAAATCACAACTTTTCTTGAACCCATCATAGAGGGAAGAGGACAGAATATCTTACCCCAAAATATGCCACTTTGACATTATTTTGAGTTGAAGGCAATGGAGATGCAGAAGACTCAAGAAAATATTTACCTCTCCTTTAACTACCTAAAAGAATTTAGACAGGGGGCCTGGCTCAGAGACAGAGCTATTACCAGTAATAAGTTTATCTGAATGAACTATCTTTACGTCAGGGCAAAATCTGATTACCATAAATCTGCTCTTCTTATTGTCCTGTGAGTTACTCTCCTCTCCTTTGAGGCCCCAGGGCCCTATTTCATTCCTTACCTCAGGATTGTATATAAGCATCAACTGCCTGACTTGCCCTGGGTCTCATATTTTTTATGGAATTGCCATACTTACAAATTTAAATTTGTTTTGCTCCTGTCTATCTGTCTTATGTCAATTTAACTATTAGACCAGCCAAAGAAACTAGAAGGGTATAAAGGAAAATTTTTCTGCCCCTACAGTTTTGGCAACCCAGATTGGACCTTCACTGTCAGGACACTGCTCATTCTGGGACTGCTGCAGCTGAGAGCTCCTGGAGCCTCTGACAAGGTCTGACAGAAGGTGAGAATTCTCACCACATCAGTCTCCTAAATCTCTACCTGCAGGGTCTAGTGGAAGCAAGAATGGTGAGAGTCCTTTTTTCTTTTTCTAAATATAGATTACCAGAAGAAAATATTTGTGTAACTTCTTTCTTGGGTACAGGGACTCTGGTAAAGATGTGGTATAGGTACTATTGTTTTCTATTGGTCCTTTTCCTCTGCTTTCCTTTGCCTCTTGCTCTGTGTCTTGAGGGCTTGGCATTTTGACCAGTGAAAATACTCTCTTTGGCTACTGCCAACCACAGGATGTGTGTACTGGCGTGCATCTGGCAGACAGCCAAGCAGGCCATGAATCCAAGCTGAAACCAGACTGGTTTTAAATTGGGTTGGACTGGGTCTAGTGTGAGGCCTCTTCATCTGACCGTTCCAGATCTCAGGGGACTCTTGTCATAATGGGTCCCAGTCTATCAGGGGCCTTCACTGTCTCAACCTTTATTTTCTCATTATGATAACAAAGGTCCTTGGTTTCTTAGGCTGGAATTTGTGAGGGTTGCATCTTTTGCAGTCTCCTTTCTGATACCTCTTGCACCCATGGTTAAGCCATAAAAAGACATTGGCTTGAGTCACTATTAACGTTCATAGATCCTACTCATCAATGGCCAGACAATGATGAATCCTTTGAATTACAAAAACTACTAGGTTGAAAAAATTTTAGAAACCTCTCATCCTAAACAATTGTCTTATTGACAGCTAAAAAAAATAGGAAATTAAAAATGGATACAAAGGAGTACAACACCTAGCCTTAGGGACTCCTTTAACAAGATAAAATAATAGAAATTAGATTTAGAACAAAAATTAAAGTCCACATCCAACATTAATCCCCTTCTTAAAAAGGGCCCTGTCTCCTCAGCAAACTCCCAGGCTCTCCTACAAATAATCAGGAAATGGATCAGCTGGAGGCCAGTGTTCAGGGGCTAGTAGACGCAATAGTAGTGGTGTCCCCACATAAGATGAATTGGTCTAAGGTTCTATTGTGTACCTAGAAAGAAAGAGAGCATTCAAAGGCCTTTAGTCATTGCTTTACGCAGACTTTTCAAAAGCATGCTGCACTAAACCTTGAAATTCCAGAATATAAAAATCTTTCGATTTCTGCCTTAAGAGAAAATATTTTCCTCACTATGACAAGGGAAATTCAATTAATGGGCTTGAGTGGACTAGTCATTGTCTCATACTGAAAATTGCTACCCAATTCTTTGAAGATAGCTTGCAGCAATACAAAAAGAAAAAGGAATTAAAATAAACAATTCTCGATTGGCAACACGAATCTTTAGAGAAATAAAAATATAACTCTGAAAGCAACTCAAAATTCACTCAGATATTTTCCTACTGCCTTCAGAACTTTGCAGATATTGTAAAAAAAAAAAAAAAATCAGGACATTGGAAGTACAATTGTCCCACACTTCAGAAAAAGAAGGAAAAAAATTGTAATTACCCTAAGATTCTTATAATAGATGAATATACCCCAAAACTCCTAGAATACATTCTTTCTCTGTCCCTTGAAGATGTAGATCTTACATGTCTTTAAAATGTAAACACCCTTGGAGATAACTAAAAAAATAAATAATAATAAAAATTGGATCCTTAAAATCCAAAGAGTTAAGCATACCACCTTCTGGCACAGCTGCTTAAGAACTATGGAGCTGGAAGCTATAAACATCTATAAAAATGGTCAAAATTTTACTAAAGACAACCTAGAATTTTGTGTCCTGAGAACTTGGCTTGGTAACCTTCGGGTTGGGCCCTAAAACATGGCCAAATAGAAATAGTGGTTGTACCACATTTGCAGCTAGATAAGGCTGAACAGAAATGTGAGTTGAACTTTGTGGCTAAGAATCCTACCAAACTGCTGCCAGCCCTCAGGGAAATTAAAGTGGCCATTATGAGGAATATTCCAGTCAAATAACATCATTTATAAAGTGCACTTAAAAGTTTGGGGTACCTATTGTAATCATATGGAAGCTTCCAAAAGGCTTCAAAATTCCAAAATATTTTCGTTGAAAGATTTGTTGTAAAAGTCTAATGAAAATTAAAGACACAAGAGGTACCTAAAGCAAAGACTAGAAGACATATACAAATACTACTGCTCCCTTCTATCCTCCTTTATTCCAGCACTCAATCTAGTAATCCTTTACCTGAATTGCTTTTCTACTCTAAAGAGAGTATTAAACAGTTACCTTTTAAAACACGACTACTCAAGGCTACATGCAATCCAATTCAGGTAAGTTTTACTTATTTGTCAAAGCCAATTAAGGGCCTTAGTTAAAGAATTTCCTGAGGACGGTATCAAAATGGCAGTGTAGGTAGAATCTGAACTCACCTCTTCCTATGGACACAACAAATTTACTACAGCTCTTGGAACAATTACCCCTGAAAGAGAATTGAAATTGGATAAAAAGAACCCCTACAAAAAGAGACAGTGCTGACTGAGATGGAAGAGACAGAAATTTATTTATGGAGAGAGAAAAGCTGTCTTCTAGCTGTGGCACTTCACAGCCAGCCAGGAGCAATCTTAAGGTATGAAGCTTTCCATGGAGGAGTGGGGGATCTGAGTGGGAGAGTGTTACCACAATAAGCAGCTTTTGACTCAGCACAACCAA